TAGTCATGTTGTGAAATGAAGACATCCAGTCCTGGATCGAACGGCTTTGGCAACAACGCCTTGGAGATTATGGGTGGGACAGCCCTCCTTTCCGGAGTGGTTCCTTGGCGTCGGCATGACATGGGATGTCTACGGGGTTGAGAGCAAGGCGACTGGTTTGGCGACCATCCTGCCCAGAGGCAACGCGGAGGTTGACAATAATGGCGATGGGCCCCTTGCGCGAGTCATGAGGGAGGCCAGCCTTAATTTAGGGAACGCTGCTGGAAGTGAAGGCTCTCTCCCAGTCATCGTTCACGACTTGGTTCGGCGGTCACCGTCGGAGGAATAGGCCACAACAGACCTGTTTGGCTTGGGGCAATTGAGGGCGTGCAGGGCGGGGCCCATGATGCGGCGCTCTTGGCAAAACCCGCAAAAAGCAGAGCTGTTTGGATGAAGAGCAAGCAAGGGAAGCAACAGAGACAAAATGGATCATGATGTACCCAAAGTACCCAGGAGCACAAATCGTGGGGAAAGAAGTAGGGGCGTGACACAGAAACCTAGTTCGGAGGGTAATGAACACAAGTTGCAAAAGATGGGAGTGACCGCTCAAGCTCAGGGAGCCTTGCCGAAGATCCGCTCACCACCTAATACCAAGCAGCCGCAGCACCGAGTCCGATTTGCCAATGATGAACAAGTAACTTGAGCCAAGCGGCAGCGTATGGCCGCTTGCTTATGAAACAACATCCCGTGAACAAGACACAACGAATGCGCCACCAGGCCACTTCAGCCTGGCGCGCTACAGTTCCCTTTCTAACAAGCTTTGCGCGGCCCCCGCCTCGGTAATATGTGAATCCAAACCTTTCTGGTGCACAAAATGCACACTAGAGGACGATTGGCCCGAAAGCATTTTTCCCCAAGCGTTTCCCACCATGTGCTTTTCCAGCCGCGGACACGCCCTTTTACATCGATGCAACAGCTTCTGAAAAGCAGGCTCGTGCAACTTGGCTCTATGTAACTTGACTCTATGTAACTTGGCTCTGTGCAACTTGGCTCTGTGTAACTTTTGGCTCTGTGCAACTTGGCTCTGTGCCACTCGCAGCCGGGGCTCGAAAATCGCAACTTTTAAGTACGAAAGTAGTACGTGAAGTCCACTTTCGCAGCTGGGGCTCGAAAATCGCAACTTTTAAGTACGAAAGTAGTACGCGAAGTCACACTTTCGCAGCCGGGGCTTGAAAATCGCAACTTTTAAGTACGAAAGTAGTACGCGAAGTCCACTTTCGCAGCTGGGGCTCGAAAATCGCAACTTTTAAGTACGAAAGTAGTACGCGAAATCCACTTTCGCTGAAAATCGCAATTTAAGTGCGAAAGTAGTACGTAAAGTCCACTTCCGCAGCTGCTGGAAAATCACGACTTTCAAGTACGAAAGTAGTACGCGAAGTCCAATCGCAACTTTTCAGTACAAAAGTAGTCCGCGAAGTCAACTTTCGGGGCTTGAAAATCGAAACTTTTAAGTGCAGATATAGATGGATAGATAAATAGATCGATAGACAGATAGAGAGAGATAGCTAGAGAGATAGATAGAAAGAGAGATAGAGAAAGAGATAGATAGATAGATAGATAAATAGATAGATAGAGACAGAGAGCGAGATAGATAGATAGATAGATAGACAGAGAGAAGGAGAAAGATAGAGAAATAGATCGATAGAAAAAAAGAAAGAAAATAGATAAATAGATAGATAAAGATAGAGATAGAGAGACACATAAATAGATAGATAGGTAGATAGAGAGGTAGACAGATAGATAGGTAGATAGATAGAGAGATAGATAAAGAGATGGATGGATAGATAAAACAATCAGATAGATAGATAGACAAATAGATAGATAGAGAGAGAGAGTTACATAAATAGATAGAAAGAGAGATAATGAGATAGATAGATAGATAGGTAGATGGATAGATAGGTAGATAAATGGATAGAGAGGGGGGGGTACATAGATAGATAGGTAGAGAGATAGAGAGATAGAGAGATAGATGCGCAGGAGATAGATGGAGAGATAGATAGAGAGATAGAAAGAGATAGAGATAGAGAGATAAAGAGATAGAAAGAAAGAAAGAAAGATAGAGAGATAGATCGATAGAAAAAAAGAAAGAGAGATAGATAGAGAGATAAACAAATAGATGGATGAACAATCAGAAGATAGATAGACATATACATAGATAGATGGATAAAGAAAAAAGATAAATAAAGAGATAAAGAGATAGAGAGATAGATAGATAGATAGATAGATAAGTAGATGGATAAGGAAATAGAAAGAAAGAAAGAAAGATAGATAAATAGATAAAGAAGTAGATAGCTAGATGGATAGACAAATAGAGAGAGAGAGAGATAGAGGGATAGAGAGATAGATAGATAGATAGATAGATAGATAGGTAGATGGATAGAGAAATAGAAAGAAAGGGTGATAGCTAGATAGATAGACAAATAGAGAGAGAGAGAGAGAGATAGAGGGATAGAGAGATAGATAGAGGGATAGAGAGATAGATAGATACAAAAAAAAGAAAGAGAGATAGAGATATTGGTAGATATATAGAGAGAAAGATAAAGAGCTAGATAGATACATAGAAAAGATAGATAGAGAGATAGATAGATAGATAAGCAGATAGTTAGCTAACACGAAAGATAGATAGATAGGTAGTTAGGTAGGTAGATAGATAGATAAAGAAAGAAAGATAGATAGATAGACAGATAGATAGACAGAGAAGAGACAAAAGAAATAACAGCACAAAAACAAGCAAGCGAAAGAAAGAAAGACAAGACAGACAGAAAGAAGGAAAGAAGGGAGGAAGGAAGGAAGGAAAGAAAGAAAGGAAGAGTGACGGAGAAAAGAGAAAAGGAGTCAAGAAAAGAAGTAGAAAGAGAACTATAGTTTTTATATTTTTCAAACTTCCGCCCACCGGCTTCGCCGGCTCTACTGGTAACTTGGCTCTATGTAACTTGGCTCAAGGTAACTTAGCTCTATGTAACTTGGCTCTACGTAACTTGTCAAAGGGCTCCGCACGGAAGAACCCTTCGCGATGCTTTCGCAGCTTGGCTCTGTGAAAGTTGGCTCTACGCAAGGTACTTTTCGCGAGTGGCTCTGCGAAACTTGGCTCTGCGAAACTTGGCTCTGGATCCAATTTCACAAAGTGCGGCGAGTGAGGGTCGAACTCACGACCTTAGGATTATGAGACCTATGCGCTACCAACTGCGCTATCGCCGCTTGGAATGTGGCCACGCACAACTTGACAACTGCGTACAGAACTGGCAGCACGCAACAATCGCCCTGAAAAAAATTGCATCAGCCGGGAATCGAGCCCGGGTCACATCGATGGCAACGATGTATTCTGCCACTAGACCACTGATGCTTCTGCCACTCATAAGAAGAAACACCAAATCGGTTTGAACGCGGAGACCGGCATCATGTTCCGTGCGCATGTTGCGAAACAAATTTGAAAGCTCGTGGGGCCCGCCACATTTAGTTGGTAAGACTTGCCCGACTAACACGTCGCGCTCTCGCCTTTCTTGCTGGACACGCGTCAAGTCCGATCTGCGCAAAGGGCTGTTCTGGGAATTGAACCCAGGACTCTCGCACCCGAAGCGAGAATCATGCCACTAGACCAAACAGCCAGTGGTTGATCAGCTCGAACCATGTTGGCAGACTAGGGCAGCGCGCTTACACCGTGCGCTACAAGTTGCACTTATGTCCTTGCCGACGAACCCCCAACACAAGGACAGTTTGGCCGAGTCTAAGGCGCTGGCTTCAGGCGCCAGTCCGTAAGGGCGTGGGTTCGAACCCCGCAGCTGTCACTTGTCTTGCCCACTCCGCGTACTACGTTTGTACTTAAAAGCTGCGATTTTCGAGCCGGAGCTGCCGCGGACCAGAGGGGAATCGAACCCGCGACCGTGGGATTGCGAAAGCAGGCGCGCAAACCACGAGACAACTTCCAAAAGGCCGTTTCGCGAGCAAGAAAATCGCACGCGCCGACAAATTCGCACGGCGCCACAGCGAGGGTGCTTCGACACGCACGATCTCCGCAGAGGGTCGCGCGCGCGCCGCAGAAATCGTAATAAGTCCTGTTTTTGGACATCGACCACACGGAGCTCCGCAGAGGGTCGCGCGCGCGCCGCAGAAATAGTAAAAAGTCCTGTTTTTGGACATCGACCACACGGAGCTCCGCAGAAGGTCGCTCGCGGACCGCAGAAATCGTACAAAGTCCACAATTTTTTAACCTCGACCACGCGGATCTCCGCAGAGGGTCGCGCACGCACCGCAGAAATCGTAAAAAGTCCTCAGTTTTTTAGCGAATCTCCGCAGAGAGTCGCGCGCGCACCGCAAGAATCGTAAAAAGTCTTCAGTTTTTGAACCTCGACCAAGCGAATCTCCGCAGAGGGTCGCGCGGGCACCGCAAGAATCGTAAAAAGTCCTCAGTTTTTGCCCCTTGGCTCTATGTAACTTGGCTCTATGTAACTTGGCTCTATGCCACTTGGCTCTGTGCCACTTGGCTCTGTGCCACTTGGCTCTGTGCCACTTGACTCTGCGCCACTTGGCTCTGTGTAACTTGGCTCTGTGCAACTTGGCTCTGTGTAACTTGCTCTATGTAACCTGGCTCTATGTAACTTGGCTCTATGTAACTTGCCTCTACGTAACTTGTCCAAGGGCCCCGCACGGAAGAACCCTTCGTGATGCTTTCGGGAAAAATGCTACAAGGTGTCAAGCTCCGGATGAAATGTGGCATGAAACTATTCTTACTGCCCTGTTGGCTGCGAAACAAAGTGTTGTAAGTCCCCGCTTCCAGGTGCGAGCTTTCAAGTTGGATCCCCGCGGCCAACACCAACAATGGTCATCAGTGGGAGGATCCTCTGCTTTTTGCCTCCATGAGCTTGCGTTTCCATCCCATCTTCCTTCTTTCAGCCACCCGCTCGCTAATCTGAAGCCCGGATTTCCTGATCTATTCCTCGAAGAGGCAAGGCTGGTCTGCCCACCTTGCTGCTCCGCTTCCCTGGCACCCTTCGGCGCGCTTTTGTGTGTGCTTTCGCCATTAAGGCGTGCGAGCAACGCTCACCGGATACGGGGAGAAGCAGAACTGCTGCTTGTACATTGGAAGTAGCCATGTTCCCGCACTCGTGAATTTGCGAGCATAGAAGTCTTGAGCGAAGAAGCAGTCAGCCACTCACAACCACGCAACGCCGAAACTGTTGCAATGAACTAGCGTGTAATTTTCGCATCGGCTGCGCATGGAAATGGCTGAGAAGCCGGCGGGCATTGACAAGCCACTCGGGCACTCTCAGTGCCCCTAGCTCCAATGCCGGCAATTCAAACATGCACCTGTGTGGCAAATCGCCAGTTGCAAACTGCTCACAAGGCTTCGCCTTGGCACCTGAAACAAGGTCATTGTGCCAGGAAATAAGCTTGATTCTACTGGCTTCTTGCACGAGCTCGTGCAAGGTGCATCTTGTGTTCCTAGACGCTTGCAGCATTGACTCACAATTGTTGGCAGTGCTAGGGCAGCGTCAATCATTGCACATGCAGTCAAGCCACACCATTCCAACCCAGCCGCTCATTGCAATGCTGCAATCCCTCGGGCAAAAAGCATCTTGTGGCCAGCTTTCTCGACTTGCACCGCTTCCCAGAAAGATGGCTCCACCGTGTTCAACAAGCCTTCCCTAGCACAGCACGGCCATGCGTGGCAGGTCTCTTGCACAAGCGGTCTGCGAAAACAAATCCGAATGAGCAATGAGGCTCAACGCGCCTGCTTGCATTTATTCTCGCAAGCACAGGACCACGACGCACAATGACACAGGGACACCAAAGAACATGCGCACACACACACACCGCAAATGAAACAACCAATGCAAGGACAACCGCAGAAACACAGACATAGACACACAAACGCGGAAGCACAGAAACGCATAAATAAATGAACAAACACGAACACTAAAACATACCCAAGTATGAATAGCTAGTGTATCTACTGATATTCATCAGTAAACCAATACAGCTACATCACACATCGCTGCAAAATGATGCTCGCCGGCCTGGGGTCGCGATCCACTTTTGCAGCAGCAATTTGCCGCAAGTCCGCATCGAACTCTTGTGCTAAAACGTCAAAGTACCGCAACATTTGGCCTTTGCCGCAGTCCAGTTCTTGGAGCCACTTCCAAAGCTCCCCTTGCCGCCCGTCCGGCCCATCTGTCCTTGCCCGCTTTGACTCCGGCTCGGCTGAGGGATCCACAGGGACCGCAGGCGCACACGGCGCAGGAGGTGTGAGGGGCGCAGGCGCCGAAGTTGCAGGCGGAACGTCGGGGGACTCCCTTGATCCCGGCTTTGACGCAGCCGTGGCTTCCAGAGGCTCCTTTGGCTCACCAAACGCCAAGGGTGCGCTTGAGAGCGGTCCAGGGCCAGCATCAAGGTCCGTCTTGGCTTTGCCCTTTGGAGCAGCGCCAGGTGGGCGGCGCGTAGTCACAGAGACTTGCAGCTCGGGATCCACCTCGTCGGTCGAGAGAATTAACCATCCAGTCGGTGGCGGTAGAGGGCCGTCAGCTGCATTGTAAAGATAAGCCTCGCAAGATGTGTACCGTGGAGTCACAAGGGATGTGTCAACATAAATGATGTACGTGGTTCAATGTGCCTAGCACACATCCCGCCGGCATCTTGCACTAAGCCTCGAGCATTCTGGCCTCCCACCTCCGCTCCAAACCACCACCCTTGGCCATCCGAACCATCCCGGTCATCCCAATAGTAAATCAAAACCTTCTCCGAGACTGGCTCCGTGGCTAGCTCAACTCCTTGGCGCGCAGAAAAAAACTACCGGTCTGAGCTTAGCATGGGTGCCGATGTACCTCCCTTCTTTTCCTGCAGCACCAAAACCGCACGTCAAGAGTCGCTTGAAAACTGGCCTCTTGTGGTTTGACCCTTCTTTGCGGTACTTGCCCTGGACGGTGCTCGCCATGCCTTGATGCGTGCCTCCTTTCACGATGAGAGACACTGGAGAAGCTGCGGCCTGGATCAAACACATCTTTGCGCGTGCCAGCTGTGGAGGGCAAGGTAGCTGCTTTGTTTTTAAACTAGATTCCGTTTTCTGCTAGGTCCATTTGGCCTTCAACATGTCAACGCCCCAGCATCACAAGAAGCACTTGGACCTGGGGTTGCCTGTCGGCTCGGATGGGGTCTCAGTTAAGAGTTGCTGGGGGCTGGTTTAAGTTTGGAGGGCTTTTGGCTGGCTTTTTTAGACTTTCGTGAGAGTCGTGTTTTTGGACCCAACAAGTGTGTTTTCTGATTCGCCTGTGCTGTTGGACCCCACAAGTGTGTATGGCGCCTCCCTCTCGAAAAAAACAATGGCTGTCCACACTTATTGGATGTGTGCCCGATAGATGACACACACACATACTTGAGATGGTGACCATGGGTTTGCAGCAAAAACTGTCCTTTCCCGTGGGAATCCGAACATTTTGGCAAGCACTTCTGATCTGTTCTGAACCAGGAATCCAGGAGCTGGGATCAGAAAAATATGAATACGCGGGCTGGAATCAGAGCATTTCAACAAACATGCTTTTGCACTTTTGCATTTCTGATTGGAAGCAGGAATCAGAAAATTTCACACAACTATGATTTGTTTGATTCGGAAGCTGGAGCCAGAACATTTCAGAAAGTTATGTTTCTCTCTCAAATCAGACATTTCCAAAAAATCAACTATCTAAAAAGAAACTGGAGGAGGTGCGTTTCTTCTCTTTCCGGAAGGCTGGAACCCTATTCTTCAGAAAATTCCTGAATTTTTGTAGCTCCCGCATTCAATTTCACATTTTCTCTGAAAGCTCCCGAAATCAAACAAATTCAGAAAATCTGCATCTCCCAACTTCAGAAATGTTCAGAGAATTCCAAACTTTTGCTAAAAATTACGAAAATTTGAGAAAACTGCCCCCGGTAATCAAAATGTTCTGCAAAATTTCTGACTCCAGCCCGACATCAAAAAACTGCAGACTTCTCTGAAAGGTTCTGATTCCAGCTCGCGCTGAGACAACTTCAGGATGATCTGTCCAGCTCCCGGATTCAGACAACAGTAGAACTTTCTATATTTCAATCAAGTGGCTTGCCAGGGGTCCGAAAAGACCTGACCCCAGTCTCAAATGCGAACTTTTGGACGTTGTGTGGCTTTGGACGCTTGCGGCTTTATAGACACCATGCAGGTCTCGGCCCAAATCCTACCAGATGGTGGACCTGTGTCAGCTGATGTTTGGGAGCTCCTTTGACTTACGCCATGGAAATCGCCATGTTTCGTTTCCCTCCTCTCGCTGGATGGTGCTGCATTGGGATCGTCATTGCTCACGGATGGTGCTTTTTCCTTGGGTTCCTCGTGTCTATACAGCTCTCTGTCCTGGTCAGAGACTTCGTCTCCAAGGTCCAGTTGAACAGTGATTCGCTGCAGCTCTGGTGGATTTTCGCTGCGTCGGCGCGGAAGCACTTGTCTTCTCACTTGCGTGTGGAACTCCTTGACGAAGCTGGGAGCATCAGGTCGTGGAGCCCTACTCATTGCTGGCGACATCGTGGCAACAACGGGGTGGCGCTTCACACAGACTCTGCGCAACTCGATTGTGGCTACGGCGGCACTTTCGCTGCCGGCAACTTCAACTACAAGGCACAACCATGGAACGCAAGCGCAAGCTTGCCGCACTTAGGCATGAGGCCACCACGGCTTCCGACCGATAGGTTCTGTTCTAGTTCTGCCCTTGGCTCCTTCCTGGACCGTACAATTGGCAGCATCCTCGCGGCCTACACCAGACCTTGAGCCCCCGGGTGCACTTCCGTGCTTTTCCCACTTTTTACATTTCAGGGTAGCAAAGCGCTTGGTCCCTGCCTACGCACAGCTTGGCAGGACTTGGAATGACTTGTTTTTGAGCAACATGCTCTGTGTGCATCTGTCTACAACTATGACTGATGTCGTTAATGTTGGTGCAGCGATATGCTGCAATTCTGTCTGTCACAGACATGTAACTTAGTTTGGACATCTCGGGCCCACGCCTGTGGAATGCTTCCGAAGGCGGATGGGTCTACACCCATCCCCCCTCGTTGCTGCACAACGCAGCTGGACTCGAACAGTGCTGCGCCGCACCGCTCACGCTGCGCGCGCACCACTCAGAAGCCGTCCGCGCTATAGACACCATGCGAGACGCCCGAGTCACCAAACATCGGAGGACATGTGATTTTCGGCTCTGCAATCAGAGACACCCGTGCAAGCTCCAGAGGTTTCATTGGTTTTAAACTGTGCAGGAGCAATTAAAGTTAATAAGTGTGCTTGGCCATTTTGTAGGCAAATTTCGGCACATGCGCTCTCAAAAAGACAAACAACACACTTACCAGGTGCTCGGAGGTATCATTTTCTGAAAACAACTCGTTCAGGAAGGTCCTTGGCTGGCTTAGGTCTTCACGAGGGTGGGTTGGGGTGGTTTGGGGTTGATTTTGGCAAAGCGAAGGGCTGACATCCAGGCTGCTGTTGGGCGGGTTGAGGCTTGACGTTTGGGCAAGCTTGGAGCTGATTTGTTTGCTGGTTGGTTGGGGGGCGACTCTCCGAAACCTTTCCTAAACGAGACTCAAACTCGCGTAACCACACCTAACGCAACCCTAAAGCCGCAAGACCACGCCGCACACAAATCAGCCTGAAGCCAACTCAAAGTCAAGCCTTAATTGGATGTCAGCCCTTCGCTTCGCCAAAGTCAGCCCCAAATCAAACCAAAACCCACCCTCGTGAAGAAGCCAGACTAGACCAGCCCCCAGCAACTCCGAACTGCGACCCCGTCACAGCGAATAGGCAACCCGGCAAGACCTGCTTATAAACACAGACCTGGCAAAACAAAACACTACCCTCCGGACCCCCAGTGCTAGGCTGTACTTGAGGGAGAATCAGCAAGAAGTTCAGTGACTTTTTGCGCACGAAGGCTCCAAACCTTGCTGCTCGGGCTCACCAAATTCTTGCTCGCGCAGTGGCATTCACACTGCCAACCTTTGTTGACTGCGCTGTCTTGTCGCCAGTGGCTTCGCCTTTTGGCCGGTGCCTTTGCAAGGTCAGCTTGGGCACCGGTAATGAAAGAAGAAGGCTGTGGCCTTCACGAAGCAGCGATTTTTACCAAGTTCGCCCGCCATGAGCTTTTGCTGTTACGATAGTGTTTACAGCGAATTCGCGCGTTGCTCCTGCACCCCTGCAGCGCGATTGCAACGCCAGAGCTCTGCAATCAACCTCTGGCGGTCGGAGGGCGGCCCCGCATCGCCCCAGACGCAGCCGGCCCTCGTGCTGAGGAAACACTCCAACCTTCTAGGGGGAGGAGCTGGGACTGCCAGAGCCCGCGAGCAAAACCGAGGTCGCCGACCTCTTGTAACGCAGCACTGAACAACCGCTCGAATCTTCTGCCCAACCCTATTCAGAGACCTGCGCAGCTACACGGCTCGCAGCGCAGAGGTCTCTGTGGAGGAAGGCGTCTTTCTACTCGACAGAGCACGCGCGCGCTGGCAGCGCGTTTTTGAGCGCCTGTTGGGTCGGCAGTTGTGTCTCCTTGAGCGACGTGCGCTATCATTTCCTTGGGCACGCATTTTCTCACCGCGCGCGGGCTCGCGAACAAGGCGCCGTGTTGCTCGTCCGGCATCACGCGCGCGTTGGAGCGAACACCCCAGCTGCGCTTCTGCTGGGCCAGCTCGCTAGCGCAGGCTTGTCGCCGACGCTAGGCCAGGCAAGCAATTTTCAGCTGGGCGCGCGGGAAAGGATGGCCAGGCAGGTCGCACAGCGTGACGTGACGCCCTACCTTTCGAGCCGGGCTCGCCCTTCATCCGCACTATGAGCGCAAATGCCCCAGGTGGGGTGCCGAACTCTGGCCCTCCCGATTGCTCTGGCGTCGCTGGGTGAGGCGATTGCCCAAAATACTTCTGCGCCGAACGTCCGCCAACTGTAACTAGACAGTTGCTACTGCGAGCCAATCTACCAGCACGTCGGTCGCACCGTGTCGCGGGTGGTGCGCGGAAAGGCAGAAAGCTTGCCCCCGACCCCTTTCCAGCGCCCTATCCTCTCAAACTCTCGCCCACCATCTGCCCTGCTGGAAGAGCCCAACGCGATCATAGCGAGCAGCGTCCTCTCCTGCAGCGCCCCCGTCACACACCCAGCACTCTTGAAGCGGTTCCTCTTCCTTGTTCCCCGCCGAACATCAGCGCAGCGTCGACTTGCCACCGGCGCCGATCACAGCTGTAGTGGAGCCAATCTCAAGGAACAGGACCCCAAGCCACGTTCTAATAGGGCTCCCGCCCAGCTATTCGGGCTCAAATGCCCAAAGAGCGCACATGTCATTACTCTGACGTTTGCACTGGGAATGAGCCCATAGACAGATAACCATTCACAAAAACCGCTTCTCCTGCCCAGCAGCCCTGCGCCCGCGCCTTGGCGTTTGCCTTGGGCCGCGTCTCAGGGGCAGGTGCAGCCGTTGCAGCAGTCGCGGGCTTAAAAGCTGGCTTGGATGCCGCTTTCGGTTTCGTCTCGTGAGGGCTTGCGTTTGAAGCCTTTTGCTCTGCCTTTCGGGCTCCCTCGCGGGAGCGTGATCGGTGTGCACCTGAAGCATCACAAAGCATTGGCCACAACCATGTTGCTTACGCACACCCGCGTGAAACGCTGTCTAGATGTTGCAAATATGAACTGCGCCGCCTCGCGCGGCGCCAGACTTGAGAGGGGGTTCTGGCTGCAGCTTGAGGGCCTGGCATCGGGACTCCCTTCAATGCCCGAAGGCTTGGAGGGGGGAGGTCATTTTAGAAAAACCCACCTTCTGGAAAAGAAGGGCAAGGAAGCTGGGTGAACCGGACCTTTGCTCAGTAGGGCACGCAATCAAACATAATGGGGTCAAACAATCCTGGCGCAAAACAAGCGTTCGGCATGGGACAAGACACGCCGTGCTTTGCAAGCGCGCCTCACTGCGCAACACGCGCGCATGCACACACAAACGCGCACACACACACACACACACTCACACGCAGGTCCCTCTAGGCCAAGGGCGGCGATGTGGCGCAAGGATTCAAGTGGGATTTAACTGCCCAATTTTCTACGTTATCGCTGGCTTTTCCAAACCGAAATTTTAGCATGATCTGAACTCAAAGCAACTTGTAGGTTCTGAGGTGTTCACACCCAATAGGTGGCAGTGATTGCTTCCGCCAACCTGCGCTGGCCCTTGTAAATAACTTCCCAACAGTCCCTACCTCTGCGAAGAGCTGCAGGATTGAACAATCCCGTAGCACGACATATGGCAACTGAAGGCGCACAACCGCCAGCCTCTGGAACCAGAGCGCCAAGCTCTGGAGTGCGAAGGGCTGCCTTTGGCCTGGGTGCTTCAAGGCGGATACTTTGGCCACCGGACCAGGCCATGCGGCGGCTCCTGATCGCAAATCCCGCTCACGCACGCTGGGGCATGTGGCTCAGCCTGGTTCTCACCATTCGCAAGCTCGAAGAATGACGGCAATGCCGATTTGCGTTTTGTGCACACTGGCGCCTGTGATCCAAGATCCAACTGGCCTGTCACGGCTCCGAATCAAGCATCAGGAGTCCTGACTAGAACGATCGAGAGCCAACTCCTCGGCCAATGGCAAATCAGCTCCCTTACGATGACCTGCTGAAAATTCAAATAAGCAGCGACCCGAGCGCATCCGTCAATTCTTCCCGTAGCTTCTTGTGCTCCTAAACGGCATGAACTAATTGTGTGGTGGCGTTGGTTGCAATTGCGCTGGTGTGAGGGTGGGATGCTCAACTTCTGCCTTTGGGAAAATGGACTACCTGTTTCAACAAGTGTTTGGCATGCGGAGAAATTGAAACGGGAGTGCTTGAATACTTTCGGCTCTCGGCATGTCCTTGCCCATCAGCTGCATCTGCACATGGTCCAAGCGACGCTCTGCTGGACCCTCCAACAGCAAGGCCTCCAGCCAACCCATGCTGCATGTCGTGAAGCTCCCTTCCACCACTCCCCAGCAACAAAAATGAAAAGCACAAAAAGGAACCAGCCCAAATGCTTTCAGCTGTAACCAGACACATTGCCACGTGTGCATCAAGGCAGTCTCTGAACTGCAACATTGGGACTTCCTTTGTTGAACCTCAGCCTGCCAAAAGAGGGAAACAACCACCTTTGCGAGCTTCAGGCATCCTGCCAAGTGCTGCTTGCCATGTTGCGTTCTCTTGCGCTCTCCACTTGGCATGACCAAACTCAAGCATTCGTTAAAATAGCGCCAGTCTGCCATCGTTACGGGGAGAAAGCTCAGTCAGCCTCAATCTGCTCGATCCACGTGTCTAGCTCATCGCCCAGCTCTGGCTGGGCCTGCAAGGCCTCGTGCAGCCTTAAATGACTTGGCTACAATCAGCTTTGCCCAAGTGAGAAAGAGCAGCAATTTGTCCTACTTGGCCGTGCCTTCACCAGCAGCTGGATTAGGGTGGTCAAATCTTCACTAGGCCTCTTTGCAGGCGCAGCTTTCCCAAGCACCAGCGCAATCTTCTCCACAAGCGTTGGCATCAATGCCTCAGCTGAGAAAATCGCATTTGTTCATGCGCTTCGCCTGGCGCAAGTGCGGCTCTGGACAAATAGCCGGTCTCGCATCAACTGAGGTTAGGCTTAAAATCCCCCGGTCAATACACAACATGTTTGTCATCGCTCATGTGCGTTAGTGTTTTGGAAGAAGTGTTTATCAGATAGCAAGAGTTCAGCGCTGCTTACACTTCCAACTCCAAAAACTCCGGCTGCATCACAACCGCAGCTCACAAGCTACACGCTGGCAGATCCGGCTAACCGTGAGGAAGGCCATTGCCTTTGCCGGGGCATCTCCTGACCCGCCCCTACAGCACCAACCTGGCTGAGAAAGAGCATGCGACGGGCAGCTTATTTGGAAAAACGTGATTGAGTCCTACCAGACGACAAGGCTGCTTCCCACGATCATGATGGTCTTGTTACACGGGTTCCCGTCTTTTGAGGAAGCAGAACATGTGTTTGGAACAAGCAGGGCCCAAATTACTAAACAGAAAACAAGGTGTTAATGTGACCTGAAGCCCGACTGTCAAACCACAAGGTTTAGGATGAAAACTTTGAGCGGAGGATGGCAGTTGTCCAATGGACTAACTAACTCTGACCAAGGTGCTAAAGCATCTTCGGAAAACTGGGACGCTGCGGTCAACAGGTCGTCTCCAGAATGTGATGCCTGGAGCACCAGCTGCAAGTGTAGTTTTGAGGCATCCCAAGGTGGTGCAGCGATTTTGGAGACTTGCAGTTTCTTCATTTCTAAACCCGGCCCGCCTTTTGGCCCTGGCACGCTGAACAACACAACTCATGATCCATAGCTGCAGCTGGGCGGCGCTGGTTTGGTCCAAAGCTTGCATCATCCGTGCGCCGCACGCAGCTTCCAAACGCTGGACCCGCTGCTTGGCGCGGGCGAAGGGGCCAAGAATGCCTGAGTTTGGTCCAAGGGGCGCGGCTGCATGCGAAGAAAGGGTGGCCACATGGCTGTTTTGCGTTGCAGCCTTGCTGGAAGCCGTCACACAACCAAAGAGAATTGATAACCTTTTTGTCCGAATGCCTTGTGACTCTACAACGCCCGCGTTCTTCGTAGGGTCAAAACTGTCACGATGATAGCACAGCCACAAGCCGCTATGTGCCACACATAAGCTCCGGCAGCGCGCCAATGAATCCAGCGGCGCCCTGGAGACCCACGTCGCCGAGATCAAGAGCCAGAACGCGGCTCGAGGACGTCAAACAGCAGGCCGTTAGCCCCAAAACTGCGCGCGGCAATTTTCAGAGCGCTCCACCCACGAACAAGAAGAGACCCGCCAGTTCAGTGACAACATCCGCACCAACTAGGAGCAGCTTACCAACTCCACGCTCTCCACAATGGGCAACTTCCGCACCAAGTTCGGTGCTTTCGACACACTGGACGCGCTCCTTGCCAGGCGCCTCAAAACCGAAAACTGACTAGGTCAATCGAATTTTGACATCTGTTGGATCGGATATCGACAGCGGAGGCCGTTTGGGCCTGAGGCCATGAAATTACAGCTTGACTGTGTGTGTGAAAGGCCGCGATAATCCGAAATTTTTGAAACGGCCGTTCAATTCCGTCATTTGGCCGTGGGAATCCAAAATAACCCCTGGAAATGCGGCGTGGCCCTGAACATCCCAAATGGCCGTGAGCAGTTGCAAGTGCGGTCGCGAGCAGGTTGGCCCTGCAAATTGCGGCCGAACGGTTGTCAAGGTAAGGCTGGGCCTGGACCAACCAGCCCGACGCCTTCACCCCCCGCCACCCACCTCGCCCCTGGCAACGCACCCGGCCGCCTCCCAAGGGTGTCCGAGTACTGTGCGTGCAGTGGTGAGATTGTTACTTGAACACAATTTTTTGCCCTCTCGTGCACGGGGCATCTATGCTCGGGATTTCGCTCGTCAAGGAGGCCAGTAAACTCGGCGGCTCTCTAACTTTTCCACGGGAAGAAGTTTGCGGACTTTCAGTAAGCGCAGTGAGCAGACCGAGCACGAATGGCTTCGCCTGGCACCATCCGCGGCTCCAAGCCAAAAGAAGGCCTCAGCTTTGCAGTCAAATTTTGGGCCAAGCCACTACACAGTTGCAGCGCCGGACAAGTTTATTCAGGGCCTCCGGCCGAAACCCAGCCATAGTTTGGGGCTTTCTTGGGCACGCCCACCCACTGCTGACCCCGGGTACTTTCTTTTGGGCAACCGTGTTGCACACTACCAAGCGCCTTTGCTGGAAGCCCCCAGACATTCTTCTCGCTTGGTGCCACGCGCAATTCTACGTTTTTTTCTTTGATGGCCGTTTCGCTAAGGTTGTCCAACAATGCATCATGATACGCTGGAGAATCACTGATCCACCCTTGTTCCGCACACACGACAATCTCGAAGTCAACATCATTGAGATTGACCCTGGCGCGTCCGACATGCTTGCTCATGACGCCTAGATGCAGTTTGCGTCTTCCTCCGCACGGCAGCGCGAATCGCTCACGGCGCTGCCAAGCAGACAACGCCTGAGCACGCACGTACATCGCAGGCCACATTCGATAACTTGACGGAGGCCTCCTGTCCAATTTGAAGTGTCGGACACCATCCTACACATGGCGAACGGTTTGCGGAGATCCCGGGCTTTATTCCGAGACTCACCGGTCTTCTGCCCTCGTGCTCGGAGAGCACGCGCTCGCGCCTGCTGGTTGCAAGATGCAAGTTTATCTCATCCGCAACTATTTGCTCGACATACCTTACAGCTTCACTTTCCGCTCCTGTGGCTTCAGACTTGCAAACGCAACTACCCGCAGACCAGTGGCCGGACAACCCTCCCACGGACTTACACAGTCTATTGGACGTGCCGAGCTGGCAGCAATCAAAGCAGCGGCTCAGTTCACACTGGACTTCGACTGCGAATCCCTCATCTGGTCAGACTTGCAAAGCACAGTTTCCGGCTCCCAGCAGCTCATTAGACGCGACCCTTCCATTTTGGCAAGCGACCCTGACCCTTGACTTTTTGGGGCAAACCTAGCATGGCCCCTGCGCAAGGATGACACGCACAAATCGAAGTGTAACAATATTTTTGCGTTGACAAGCTTGCACTGCTGCGCGGATCCTGAGAGGTCGAAGTCTCGACGCGTAGATACCGCGCTGTTGCGACGTGTTAGGCCAAGCTTCTGAGGTAGAAAGCCGCCTGCAGAATCCGCGATAGTCTAGCTGGTTAGGATACTCGGCCCTGACCCGGGTTCGAGTCCTGGTGGCGGAATGTTCTTGCGAGGAAATGTTGTTCGTGCTCAGATTGCTTGGACACCGTCGCACATCGACAAGGTGCATCGTCAGAACTTCATTGAAGACTGGCGAGCAGCATGGAACGATAAGACATAAACGCGGGCACCATCAACCAGTTCTGTGCTTCTGTGTGACTCTGAATACTTCACATTCTGGCCGACAGCAATACGGCTTCTCCGCCAATCCTCGCAGCGGGTCAGCTCAGAACAACCTGGACCAGTCAATCTTTGAAGCAGCACTTGCAATGCACGATGCTGATTGGGGAGAGCACAACTAACCATTGAGGAAGCAACGCCGTAACAGGCAGCAGCTTCTTTCCGCCAAGGGCTCAAGTTCTCGGACCGCCTTCGCCGCACAGCTTGTGGATCAGGCTACCGAACTTGGAGCAGCCGCTTTCAAGCATCTTGCTACGGACAGGAGTCGACAGTTGCTCTGCTCCGGCCTTTGCGGCACCATCGCGGGACCTGCCTTGTCATGCGACGATGTGATCCTCAGGAATTCCACCCCGCCTTTTGGAATTCACCAGGGGTCGCGGCTCTCGGCGGGCATCAGACCTTGCCAGGCCAGCCGAGGTAGTTGAGACCGAACTCGCCTGGCCGCACGCCTGCGCTGCCCGCCAAGGTCGGCGAGAAACCGTTCGAGGTAAGACCCATTTCATAGCTATGAGTTGGGAGCTCGGCACGTTTGGTCTAAGCTTTTGCGTTTAACAAAGTTTTGTAAATTTGTTACACCGCTAATAGCTCCGGCAGTACACGGTATCATGACCAGCACCCACAACAGCACCAAGACCAGCACCCGCCAGGTCCCACAACAGGGTGGACAGATGCAAGGTGCTGGGCAGGGCACTGATCAGGGCCCCGTTGCGGGTTCTGCTAGGGTGCTTTTGGCGTGCTCCTGACGCACTTGCAGCTGCCTCGGCGCTTATTTCACGAAGAAGTGAAGGTGACAGTTTGGTGAGCTGAGGGTGGTGTGGCAGTTGGTAGCGCTTGTCGCGCAGTGTTAGGGCGCGGTTGGGGTCTCAGAGGGTGTCGGCTAGGTGAAGCAAGCCACCCTGGGCCTAATTACGCTAAACAGATCAACAAGCTTTGGGCCACTGCGACTTGTGTCATCGACACTTCGCGCAACATTGGGAACACAAAGGTATCGCAAAAAAACACTGCTTTTTGCTGCGGTCAACGGGCGGTGGCAGCTGCTGTTTTGCGACGCGGCTTGTCAAGGCACCTGTCAAGCGTGATCGTCGGCAGCAACTTTGGCGCGCCCAAGGTGGTTGCTGGCCGCGGCTCGGCAACCTTGACTTGGCCAGAGCCCGCCTTGTGCCACAGCACCCTGACCAGCACCCACAACACCACCAACACCAGCACCCACCACAGCATCCTGCAGCGCCAAGCCAGCACCGCTGGCACTGCAACTTGAGCACACCAAGTAATCCGCTCCCCCAATTAATGAATGACCCCAATTAATAATAAATGCAAATCCGGAGCCCAGGACCAGATTTCCACTCCACACAATTGATTTTCCATTGCGCCAATACTAAACCAATACTAACGTCTTGGAATCCTTATTAGGGGGCACTTTTGGCAAGCTTCCAGCCTCACTTTTCAACAGGTGGGTTCCTCAATTCCCCAAAAGGTTGCTTTCCCAAAAGCTGGCTTCTTAAAAGGTTGGGTTCTTTTGGTGGGTTCCCAAAAAAGTTGTTCTTGACTCTGTTGTCCCTGGCTGTCCCTGACTTCCTGGCTGGCTGCGTTTGTCACCTGGCTGCGGTCTGTCTGGTCTGGCTGCCTGGGCAGAGCTCTGTCCATTACAATTCAATCCATTTCATCCAAATCCTACGTGAACCCTCACATTGTTGGAAAAGCAAAAAAAGCCAACCCCAAAAACCCCAATTAAAAAAAATACATTTTTTGGGGGATTTATGTATAATAGGGGGGGGGCGTATTTATTAATAGGGGGAAGGGATTAGCAGCTTGACCAGCGCCAAGTGCACCCTGACTAGAAAGCTTGCCAACCGAGACAGCGCAATATGACCTGCGTCAAACGTTGCACGCGGGCCAGGCGAAATGCACTTTGTCTTCCGGTCACATGTTGAAGCGGCCGACCGTTTTTCATGAAAACCACCGCGCGTGTGTCCACACATGCAAAGATGCTGATGCTATTGACAACGCCACTCACAATCAATGTGAACCCCCTAAAGCCATTGACAATTCTCTGACGCCTGGCATGCAAAACGAATATCACCATCCCCCGACCGCCCCGCACCACGATATATTTGAAAGACCATATGAAACTACGGCTTGCATATCCGAAATGCTGCGCAGGCCGCGCGAAACGCAGTTGGGGAATTCTTGTGAAACGCGCGTTTACGTCAAGGGGGAGCCCCAAACAAGTACCGCCAAAAGCAAACCAAAAAACACCCTGACCAGCACTCACAGCATCACCTTGGCCACAAGCAGCCACCACCGCAGCGCACCTTGAGCAAAACAGTGGAGTCCTCTGGCTGGTCACGGGCACAAAATGAAAACTGTGTGTTTTTGATCCAAAAATTCGAAAGGTGAAAGTCGAAAAGTTCCCAGAAACTCGAAAAGTTGAAAAATGGAAAAGTCGAAAAGTCGAAAAGTCGAAAAGCCGAAAAGCGTTTGACCTTTCTTTTTTGGAGAAACATCC